TAAATTGATATAAAATTTGTTTCGCTGAAGTGATTAGAGGTTAAAACTGGTTTCAGTGAACTTAAAATAAGTCAGAATAGGCACGCTTTGATATGCTCTTGGTTTACAAATATATATTTTGACAGAAAGTTCTTCTTTACTCTTTAATCTTGAATGCAAACATTAGGATCTAATAATAAGGGTTATTGATGGTGCTCTAGAAGGTGTTCCCAATTCTAACTCCAGATCCTTATTAAGGAATTCCAATAGAAAATTCGCCGAGTGTCCTGGCCAACAATTCCACAAACAAAATTGGGCATTCACGCCATGGCTGTTTGTGGGTAATTGCTGTTACAAATTGGCTGCTGTGTTTGCCTACAGATACACAACACTTCACAGTAAATTCTGTGAAGCACCTTGGATTGTCTTCACAACGTTAAAAGTGCTATACCAAATGCGTGGATTAATTATTATTTTTATTGTTTCACAATGGATTCAATGGGAAATATCAGTTCTAACAACTGAGAATTTAAAAAACATTCCCTTGCCAAATTGCCATCAAAGGCGATTCAATTCTGAAGGGCTGGAGGAGTAACTATTCTCTAGAAGATTGGCATAGAGCTGGGTGGGCTGTTAAACCTTACGTTTGTTGTCACCAATAATTAAGGAACATACGTGAAAAAAATTCCACTTGGATCTGGTATTATGCTATTTATGTAACATATCCGAATTGGCAGATTGTTGAATTCAGTTTTAGCTCTGAAGACGCTTTTCTTTAGTTCTTAAAATAGTTTACAGGAAACCAACTTCAAAATTAAGAATTTCCCAAGTTCCGGATACTCTGAAGTGCTGCATAAATAGAATACATCCAGATGTCCTGGCCAATGAATGAATGATTGAATCTGTTGAATGAGTGACACTCCCTATCCCTCCACCCAAGAGTAATGGTTATCATTCTAAAGTGCAATACATTTTGTTTACTCATCCAGCTGTTAAGCATTCTAAAGTTCCATAAATCATCCCGACAGCTTTATGACTTGAGCACTGTTTGATGATCCTTGAGTATTTACAGTTTTCTAAATTTGGATTTGCAGTGCTCTAATTTGAGAATTACGACATATTAAATTAAAAATGACAGCTTATCAACAGGAGCACTCGCACTGATTTCAGTTTGAAGTTAAAAACTCAAAGCGTTTTGGCACCATTTTTAAACTGCCTTCAAAGTAACTCGATTGAATTAGATGGATTAGGTTCCTAGGCCTTCGCTTCTGCTACCTCAAGATATGGCTTGCTGCAAGAAGCCTGACATTTGGGTGCAGGGTTCATTTCAGATGCCAGGATTTTGACTGAATCTGAACTCAAACCACACAGTCTCTGTTTGATTGTTTTGTTTGTTAAAAAACAGAGTAAAATCATTGGATATGTACAAGCTTGATGCTTGTGGAAATTCAGTTATGTTTCTAAAAACATTACTATTTGTTAATGTTAAAAAAATAGCTGTGATAGTACAACATGTACTATTCAACTTGAGCACAAAGCAAGGTTTCTTTTTTCCCCAGGCAGTCAGGTTTAGAGGCGATAGAGTGTTGCACTTATAATAATAATAATAATAATAATAATAATAATAATAATCCTTGCATTTGATATAGCACCTTATCACGTCTTCGAGACCTCCTGAAGACGTGATAAGGAGCTCTGTCAAATGCAAGGATTATTATTATTATTACTGTAGGATAATGACAAGATAAGTAAGGAATACAGGACAAGAGAACATAAATTTTAAATTAGACTCATGAAAGGGGTTTGCAAAATAAACGCATGTGGTGATGAGAATATGCCAGATCCTCCTGTACGACATCACTATTTTTTTGCACGGAGACATTGCCCAGTACCATCAGGAATCTACTGGTGTTGCTGTATGATTACATCCAGAAGACTTCCAGTGCCTCTTCCAAAAATATTTTTGCTGTGATACTTCTAGTTAAAATTATATAAATAATAATAATATTCCTTGCATTTCATATTGTGCCTTATCACGTCTTCAAGACATCTCAAAACGTTTCACAGGATATACTGTAAAGTCAATTGACTGTATATTTAGTGGGTGAAATTCTGCACTCTGTCAGCTGAATTTACAATTTTTTGCATTTTAAAGCCTGAATAGGCTTGTTAAGAAATGTTAACAATGTGAAGTACTCACTGTTAAAAGAGCTTTTGGTTTGGCTTTTTTTTATTAAAGATAACATTACTCTCCACATATCAGAACTGAGGAATTTTAGACATTAGTATGACCTCATTGCCATTAAATAATAGTGTTTAATTTCTGACATTTTTAAGGACCGCGGATTTTCCTATTCAAGTGGATGTTAAAGATTGTAAGGCACTATTTGGTAAAAGAAAGTCTCTCCTGACATCCTGGCAAACAATTCCCCATTTAAATTGATCATTTAATTCCTGGCTGTTTGTTGGACATTGAGGCCCTCAGCGTCCTGTTCGACCCTCAGCTATCCTTCAAACCCCACATTCATTCCGTGACCCATTCTGCCTTTCCCCACCTCCGCAACGTTGCCAGCCTCTGCCACTGCCTCTTAACACAGGCCGCCGAGACCCTTATCCTCGCTTTCATCACGTCCTGGCTTGACTACACCAACTGCCTGTCCCTGGGTTTCCCAACTCTTCCCTTTACAAGCTGCGGATTATTTAGAACTCTGCAGCTCTTGTTCTCTCCCGCACCAGGCTCCGAGAACCAATCACCCCCATTCTTGCCCGGCTTCACTGGCTCCCCATCCCTCAGAGAATCAAATTCAAAACCGTCGTTCTCATCTTCAAAGCCCTCCATGGTCTTGCTCCCCCTACTTCGCTGACCTCCTAACCCCATATCAGCCAGTCCACTCCCTCTGCGGGGGACACTGGCCTGCTTCAAGTTCCTCGCATTTCCCACCCCACCATTGGCGGTCGGGCATTCAGCATCCCTACCCTGAACTTTCCCATGAAAGTAAGTCGGATCACGTTTCTTAACAATTTCTTTGGCCAGATGGTTAAGTTACAATACATTTTAAGCGTTTCAGATACAATTTGAATAATCACCATCACAATCCCATCACAAGTGTTAATAGTGCAGTAGTTAGTTGGATAGAAACAATTAGATTCTAAACTGATCTTTACAGGATTTGAGGGAATTTGCATACATAGCCTGACCCTAAACACAATTTAATTATATTGATTGTATAAAATGGACATTTGGTAAATTTTACCAGGTTTTGAGATTAACTAACAAATTACGAAGTTGGCAAACCAAATAAGAAATTTAGAACATTTTTGAAGATAGTAAGCCTTGACAAGGACAAGTGTATAAATGAGCATGTCTCATCTCACAGTGCCTGTGATTTGTCTCTCCTCTCTTCATGATATAATTTGAGTAACTACCTTTTACTTGGTAAGCATTTCTTTAAGTGGTCTTAAATTTTGCAAAGGGCAATAAACAGCTTCTGCTTCCTCACTCAGCTCCTCGTTTATCCAGTACCCATTTGTCAGCCTGACTCAGTTCGTAGCACTCTTTGCTTCTGAGTCAGGAGTTTGTGGGTTCAAGCCCCACATCGAGACTTGGAATCATATAGTCTATGTGATTCCAAGTCCCGATGCAGTGCTGGGAGGTATTGCATTGTCGGAGGTTCCTTCCTTCTGATGAGACATTAATCCAAGGCTGCTCAATAAGGAGAACAAAATTGCCAACTCACAGAAATGCCTCTCGAACAGTCATGAAGTGAATGATCAATTTTATCTGGGGGACTGTTGGCCAGAACAACAGAAGAAACTCCTTTCTCTTCTCAAAAGGGATCTTTAACATCCAGCCAAACAGCACTGCATTGGAGTATCAGCCTAGCTCAAACTCAAAGTCCTGACATGGAGCTTGAACCTATAACTTTCTGACTCAGAGGTAAGAATGCTACCAACTGAGACAGGCTGACATCCAATCCCATTCTGAGGAAAAGGGTATCTAGGAATAGGCTATTGATCCATCTTATCCAAAAGAATCCTTCAACACATCTATCTCACTATTTCAAAGCGCTCCAATCCTTTTATTTCAGAAACCTGCCCATTTTTGTTTGAAACCTTAGTTTTATCTCTTGTGCTGGTAATTTGTTCTATATTACCTGTCACTCCTTAAATTAAAATAATTAACATGGTTTAATTTGTTTTAATGGGAGACGCAAGAGAAAATGCAGTATTATCAGAGGTGATAAAAATTGCATGGGGGCCACATTTGTTTTCTCATTACATGAACGTGTTGTTATGTTCAAGCTCCATAGGTTCAAACTCCAAAAAACAAGCTGGAGCATTATCTTGTTACAGGGGAAGAAACTCGTCTGCTGCCATTCTACAGGGAGGTTTCTGTCATTCCTGAGCAGACTTAACACAGCAATTTCTGATGCTAAGTCAATTTTGTCACATTAGAGTATTCATAAGGCATTCAAAATGAGGCAACATTTTAATAAAAGCTCCTTCTATAAATGTTCTTTTGCATAATAGGATATAATCATAAGTCATTTATAAACATGGTAATATTGTAAATTGTCACAAAGTCAGACTGCTCTTGACATATTACTTGCATTAGTACCATCCATATGTCATTCAAGTCAAGTGGGTCTGTTTCAGTACTGTAACATTCTATGTAATTCTGAGTTGTGCAGGAGCTTGAATTAAGGTCATCATCATCATTTTACACACATACAGATGCAGTGACATTGTGGAAACGTCTAAACAGATCCTTTTTTGTTAGAAAAGAGAAAACATAGACTTGAGGATCAGTGCTGAACACTTAGGTTTATTCAGTCATATGTGTAAGCTTTCACAGTACACTGCAAAAAAAAACAAGTGGACTTCATATAAGGTAAATGGACAAATAATAATTCACAGTTGTAAGTGAGAACTGTAAGAGTGATGAGGTATTATGTGAGAAAAGAGTTTTAAATGTGATTATTTAGATTCAGAGTATTCAAAAGTGTAAATTGACTCAACATTTTCATAATCCATATTTGGATTTCATTTTTCATAGACATATTTCTGAAGGCAGGTTATGATAAATATTTTAATGCATCCCATCAAGTCATTGGTATGTACTCAAAACAGGACTCACTGTTTTCGACTAGATATTCAGGCTGATTCACAGTTACATGTTTCTCTCTGATGTAAATCATAAGAGAAGTACGGATATATAAAACCATTTGGTCCATTTGATCTCATCCATCCAGAAGACACACACTCCTTTCATTTCAGCATCATACTCCGTCTTAAATTGATTCAACATTTCTGCCTGAACCAACTTTCCTGGAAGCCCGTTCCAATCATTAATCTCTGTGTAAAGAAGAAGCTGGTTAAGACAGACGCATCGGGGACGGTCGTTTGTCTGATTTAAGAGGTGTCTGAGGTTAGCCAAAATACCAATCCCCCCCAGCAGAGGAGCTGTGGCAACGCTGTACAATAATCTATACTAGTAACACGGCAATGTCTTTGTGTGTGTGTGTGTGTCTCAATAACCGATTGAGGTAGATACATGATTTATACCTCATCAGAAAGGTCTTGCATGTGTGAGTGTCATGAACATATTTTTTCAGGGATCTCCTATAGTTGATGAGCCATACTTAAAAAATGCATTAATTAAGCCCCAAAATATGAGGTAAGCATGCAACAAGTACTGTCAGAGAAAATCACACTCAGTTCTATAGAGATACATCTACACTAGCATATTCTGCAAAAAAGTAGCGACAGAGAAAACCATGGGCATATTTCTTGGCGGGACTCTCTTATCATTATATAAAGTATAATAATCTAAAATAAAATATAATAATCTAATATAAAATATAATAATCTAATATAGTGTATAGTAATATAACATAAAGTATAATAATACTGAAATCTACATTCCATATTGGATCCTTTGCTTGCAAGGCACTTGAAACCGTAGATGTAATAAGGCGTTATATTAAATGCAAGGATTATTATTATAGTACTTTCCCGCACAGCATAAGAGCGGTGGTGGCTCTTCCTCCCACTTTGCCATTCCCATTGGACAGGAAGGGGACTAACTAGCGGCAGTGCTGAGCTGATTGACAGCCTGTAGCCGCTTGTGAATGTTTGGGCTCCACCTGTACACAACGGGCTCAGCTGTCAATCAATCGCGATTTCCCTCCCTTGTTCTTCCCCGTTTCTCTGCCCCCTCATTGATTGACAGCCCAACTCCAACTGCTCGTGAATGGCTGGAGTCCGCTGTCAATCTGTATTTGACTCATTCCATCTGCAACCTGGAGCCACTCATAGCTGAATGGAGCCACTGCAGAGAAGGTCTGAGTGAGTACATTCAGCGGTGACTAGCGCTGCAGATTAATCAGATTTTTGTCCGAATCAACCGACATATTTAAAACAAGTAAGAATACAAATCGGGGTCAGGCGTTTTGTTCGATTTAACTAAAGTTCAGCAAAAATGGTTCCACTGTACTTTGAGGTAATTAAACTGAAATTGTCCTTTGCAACCTAAACCTGTGTCCTCTTAATCGTAGTGCTTTGGCAAGTGTGAAAGTATTGTTCTGGGTTTACTTTCAGAGTTGTGATTACAATCTTGTAGCTCTTATGTGCCTTTTAAGACTTCTGTTTTAATCATTCCTCACCACTCATCCTTGTCATACAGGGCTGACTGATGTTTGACTGTGGAGCCAGTGTAGCTTCTTATGTTGCAGTGATCAGGATTCTGTGCAGTCTTTGAGGTGGCCTGATGAGGATCTGAACTCAACTGATTTGCTAATATAACTGGTTTGCCGTCTTTATTGTTGCCTCACACCGTGAGGTGATAAGCATTGAGTCAACAAGATTTCTTTCAATTTCTCCCTTGATAAGTTTCATTGTCTCCATGGAGCACATGTACTCTCACATTTTTATTTCCTAGATGCAGTATCATTCATTTATCTATATTGAACTTAATTTGACAATAATCACCCCATGTGCTAATTTATAGATTCTCTTTGTAAGTTCTTGTTTGGCTCTTATGATTCCACAGTTTCTTACTAACTTGGTGCAATTCATAAATGTTGGGTTTAGAGGAGACAAATAATAATAATAATAATCTTTGCATTTGATATAGCGCCTTATCATGTCTTCGAGACGTCTCAAAGTGCTTCACAGAATATACTGTAAAGTGAATTGACTGTTTATTTTGTTGGCGAAATGTGGCAGCCAATTGCGCACAGCAGTGTGTCCCGCAATCAGTCGTGGATTGAGTGACAATTTTTTCTTAAGTGATTTTTACCCCCAGAAAGCGATCCACCAATCGACAACCAGGTTCCTACTTACTGCTAGGTAAACAGAGACGTGTGGAGTAAGGAAACTTGCCTACGGTTTCGCCTTGCCTGGGAATCGAACACGGGTCCTCTTGTGTGCGAGGCGAGGGCTCTAACCAATTTATATAATATATCCTATGAAGCATTTTCTGACATTTTCCTGACGTGAAATGTGCCTTGACAAATGCAAGGATAACTATCATTCTTTATTTTTTAAAATATTTCAATGAGATTATCCCTTAACCTCCTAAAGGCCAACAAATATATATCTATGTTTACTAAGCCTCTCATATCAGTTAATACATGCATGAACTAGTCCAATCATTACAAAAACATCTTGCCTTGCTTCGCACTCAACTTTTCAACTGTCGGTACCAAACATAAGTGCAACACTGTGCCTTTGTATTGAGTCTGCAAATCCAGGTCATTAATGTATACAAGGAACAGACTCCATGGGCACCCTATATGATAACTCCCTCAGCCCCCATTTTGACTTAGCTCTCCTAACAACCACCCTCAGCTTCCTTGTCGTTTGCCTGTATGAGCCTTTGGAGGCTTAAACTCAACTACAGATGTAAATCGCAGCAGTGCTGAATAACAATTTCGAACGCTATTGCTTGAGAAGATATTTTTATCTCCCCATCTATAAGAGAATCCTATTTCTTGGAGCTGCAACAAAATATTATGCATATTTGCCATCAATCTCACTCACTTGATACGTAACGGTTGGTTGTATGTCAAATAGACCATTGAAGATTCCTGACACACAGTGTGAGATTTAGAAAATCTCTCATCTGCTGTACTTTGACCAACAAGGAACTATTCATATAGATGGTAACTTAACATTTCCAAGAAAGCCTTGGAAGAACAGAAATACCTGAAGTATTTTATGTGCTCTTCATTCCAGTAATTTGTACACATCTGACAATGATATACGTATTATACTGAGGTAACATTTGGTGAGTTAATTGGTAAGTGAGAAGAATTAATACAATGGCAAATAATATAACATTAACAAGTGTGTTTTTTTTAAAAAAAACTTCACGATTAATTCTAAATAGTTTTCACCACATCTTTGTTTCTAAAAATTTAGAGGTTTGATATTTTATTCTTAAAGGTTGTTTGAAAGTAGTTTTAAATCTTTCTGTCTCCTGATGGCAAAGAATGCTGTATTTGACCATATTGCAGCTGGTATCTTATAAAGCAGAATTCAGATGCTGTCTCTGAGTTCATAAAATGTATGTTTCTTCCATCTGCACTTTGCCGTATCAAAGATGGCAGCTGAATAATTACAGAATCACTGTAGTTTGGCTAAAATAGACTGGGAAATTAGATAAAAATATATGACGGTAGACCAACTATGGCAAACGTTTAAAGATATAATACATATTTCCCAGCGATCACATATTCCCTTGAAAAAAAAATACATGGGAAAAGTGGTTCACCTTGGCTAACTAGAAAAGTTAGGGAAAGTATAAAATTAAAAGTCTATAATACTGCCAAAAAGAGCAGTAAACCTGAGGATTGGGAGGGCTTTAAAGATCAGCAAAGGAAAACCAAGAAACTGATTAAGAGGGAGAAAATGGAATATGAGGGTAAACTAGCTAGGAACATAAAGACAGACTGTAAAAGTTTTTACAAGTATATAAAGAGGAAGAGACTATCAAAAGTGAATGTGAGTCCATTGCAAGCAGAGACACAATAAATTATAACAGGGAATAAAGAAATGGCAGAGACATTAAACAAATATTTTGCTTCTGTTTTCATGATAGAGGACACTGAAAATTTACCGAAAATAGCGGGGATCCTGTAGGTTTATGTTAGTGAGGAACTTAAAGAAATGAACATCAGTAAAGCAACAGTATTAGAGAAATTGATAGGATTAAAAACCAATAAATCCCCTGGACCTGATGGCCTGCATCCTAGGATTTTAAAAGAGGTGGCTGCAGAGATAGTGGATGCTTTGTTTCTGATCTTCCAAAATTCCCTGGATTCTGGAACTGTTATGTGGCACGTTGTCGAATGCCTTCTGGAAATCCAAATACACCGCATCTACTGTTTCCCCCCTATGTAACCTGCTAGTTACGTGCTCAAAAAACCCTAAAAGATTTGTTAAACATGATTGGAATCCATTGATTGGAAAGTCGGAAATATAACGCCCCTATTTAAGATGGGTGGGAGACAAAAAACTATAGACAAGTTAGTCTGAAATTGGTGGTAGGGAAAATTCTAGAGTCCTTAATTAGGGACGTCTTCGTGGGATAGTTAGAAAATCATAACTTGATTAGGCAGTCAACATGGCTTTACGAAAAGGAAATCATGTTTAACAAATCGTTTAGACTTTTTTTAGCACTTAACCAGCAGGTTACATAGGGGGAAACAGTAGATGCGGTGTATTTGGATTTCCAGAAGGCATTCGACAAGGTGCCACACAAAAGGCTGTTGCATAAGATTAGAGCCCATGGAATTAAAGGTAATATATTAGCATGGATCGGAGAGTGGATAACCGGAAGAAGACAGAGAATAGGGATAAACAGATCCTTCTCAGATTGGTAGGATGTGACTAGTGGATTGTCACAAGGATCAGTGCTTGGGCCTCAATTATTTACAGGCTATATCAATGATTTAGATGAGGAAGTAGAAATTAACATATCTAAATTCGCAGATGATACGAAGATAGGTGGGAGAGTAATCTGTGAGGATGACACAAGAAGAATGCAAAGGGAAATAGACATGTTAGGTGAGTGGACAAGAAGGTGACAGATGGAGTATAACGTGGGGAAGTATGAAATTATTCACCTAGGTAGTAAAAATCTAAAAGCGGATTATTTTCTAGAGGGGGAGAGACTAGGTAGTGTTAGTGTTCCGAGGGATTTGGGTGTCCTTGTACAACAGTCACAAAACATTAGTATGCAGGTACAGCAAGCAACTAGGAAGGCTAGTGCCATGTTGGCATTTGTTGCAAAAGTGTTAGAGTACAAGAGTAGGGAAGTCTTGCTGCAGTTGTATAAGGCCTTGGTGAGA